AGAACGTTACATACTGTCAAGCATTGAATTTCGGTGACATATTGTACTGCTATGATACTCACCAGCTGGCATTGCTCTGTACTTGTTGATATTACTGGAGGATGTAGCGTAGATTATAAAATCGACTCTCTTCGATCGTAGCTTGTTTACCCAGACAGTAGGGGAGAGGACAGAGGGATTAATAGGTAAGCATTGAATTCGAGAAATCTAAAACGTACGTAATATACATGTTAATGTACATATAACGTACGTATTTTGAGAAGAATTTAAGCGATGTCCATACCGAAATAACCAATAAAAAAAAATGTTAGATATTCATAAAAAAGTAATTTGTTACTTTAATAAAAGCTAGGAATAATCATTATTTTCTACAAAACGAAAAGGAAAAAATTGGGAAATAAGTGCCAGGAAAACATTGCCGTTTCAGTTTAGTCAGATAGGGATATTTTTGATTTTAGCTTACGACTTAACATACGTTTTTGATAGTTATAAATTTTCGTCTCATTGAATAATCCATATTTAGTTTTTTTCTAACGACGCTAACGAGACACGCTTAGTGTTATGCAGAAACTCCTGACCTCTTAGGTTCAATGCATTACGTGATCCTCGAACACGAGTAAAATAGCTCTCAGATTATTATGTCAGCTAGGTGAAATTAATTCGTTGTGTAATATTTCAGGAAGATAGCAGAAAGTCTGACGTAAGCCCAGCACAAATCAATAATTTAAAAATCGGACGAGACCAGGCATAATGGGGCCACAAATCTATTCAACAATAGCCCAAATCGACCAGTAGCTGTAATCGCCCGTGATTGCTCTCCTGTGCGGAATATACGAAGTAGTGGGTTAGCTAGTCTCTGCCCCGCGTTTTTCTTTCGCTCAAAAATAATGAAACAACTTCGATTCGAAGAAATCGATGGAACAGGTCGTTACAAAGTCAATGATTTGTTGATCGTCACTGTGACTGAAGCCGTTGTCTTAGTTGGGATAGAACAAAAACCATCGGAGTCAACTTCAATTCGAAATCGAGCAGGTGTATCGGATTGACAATTGGCAAAATGCGTTCAAAATAATTTATTTTTAGGTTTAATATTTAAGGTGGATCAAAGGATCACGCTACAATGATTAGCGCAAGCGGCGAGCCGATTAGCTCTGGATGTTTACATTGTTCCGGGCTCGGTTTAAAAGATTGTACTTGTAGCTATATCGGAGTCAACGTTTTCGATAGAACGGACTATCATCATTTACGTGCAGCAAAACAACCGAAAGATAGAAATACGGCGTACTTCTTCCAATCAATATGTCCACATCGATCCAGGTCGTTCTCTTTCATATGCGCAAACGCCTTACATCTGGCACGCATGTGTGAAAAGTGAAATCTGCGTGGGGCTATGAAGTACCTAATAACCTGGTTGATCTCTCCGTAGCAAATGGATGCGGTGCTTATGTGTATATCGTTCAGCAGAACAAGTCCTGATGAGCCTTTACTCCGGAGTAAATTGTTTTTAGAAGGACAAATGTTTCGAGGGCAAAGAGTCAAGGCACTCACAGTTTTTTGATCTACCTTTGCTGCTCGATCCGGCACTACTTCTGGTTGCAGACTCTACACATATACTTGCAAGCTGCAGGAGATTGCTTTCAACCATTGGACGTCAACAATAGGAGGCCTCTATAGCAACAGAGGCAGATGTCTGGTCAGCTTTATTGTGCTTTTATTATATTGCGCATTCCAGCAACTGGCAGAAACGGGGTCATGCGCAATTTTCGGCAATTATCACTATCATTTATTGGTAACAACAGCTAAACTACTATCACGTTACTCTCGCTTTACGGTCACCAGCGATGGCAACTTCAACATGATCTTGATTAACAACATGGCCACAAGGATGAACGCCAGGATCGTCATTGTTACGGCCTCCAATTGATCCTGTATTCAGTGATAAAGCTATTGTAGGAATTTGCGTTCGTACGACATACGACGTGTAATTCGTATATAGTACATATGTAATTTATCATGCACAAATTTATTTACTATTACACGAAATAACACTTATTTGCTTAACACTTACAACCAGCTTTCTAGACCAGCACATACAAAGGCATCAACAACTACACAAGAGCTATACACTAGGCGTGCAACACTATTGAATCAATGAAAAATAAACGTAAATAAAAAAAAAACCCTCGCAGTAACTCCTCTGCAATTTTTTAGCCGCGACTATCCATATTATGGCTGTAATAGGACATGCGTTAACGCCTTCGCCAGCTTTTGTATAATATCGGCGTCACGCACGTTACGTACCACTGAAATTGGTGTGGTTCGATTGATTTGTTACTGTGTTTGTTTGTTTGTACGGTCCCCGCACGCAAGCTTCACCTGCATAGTACCGAGGACTGCAATGGTGTTTGCCGTCTGATCGGCGGGATCTGAACAGACAGTGCAGGCCAGAGGATTAGCTGGATCCCCCATTACATTGTTCATCGAAAACAATCAAGCAGGAACTGCGTTGCGCTATTGGACTACGCCTTAACTTGTGAACTTCTTTCTACGCAAGTACCGGACATCAAGTTCGGCAGTGCCAGCAACACTAATTTTTCGGTAGTGCTTATGAAAATATCGATAGCTACGGCAGTTCGCTAGAAGTTCAGCAGGACAAAATCGTGGGCGCATGCCGCTTGCGTCCAGGTTCGTCCACAGTCGGATCATCAAATGAGCTCGTAATCGCCACCGGCGAATGGCCGAATCGTGGCATCGGCTACTGCTGATCGGTGGAGCGCCAACCGCGCGCAGCGGGACGGTATATATATTTCCAGCGCTCACTGCTTCTCATTGAAACAATGAGGAGATGATTCAGTCGAACGGTTTTAGGCCGCCGCAGAGCCGACCCTTATTGTTGTTGTTGTCAAACAGAATAGCGGCCGATGTCTTGGCCGCCTTAGGATGAACCATAATTTTTGGCCGGCAAGAAACATGTCGATTTCGATGCTAGAAGAAGCGTTGTGTTAGCTTTGTTCAAAATCCCTTTTGTTGCTTGTACAGACGAGCGGCGCTGAGCTGAATTGGCGATGGTCATCGTAAAACGAAACAACAATATTATTATAAATTACACAAGTGCTTATGTTGTAATCGATTTAGCGAGTTACCGAGCTGAAACAAAAACATACGTTTATATCACACTAGAACGATGAAATTTAAAGGAACAACAGGCAAAGGAGTTCAGGTGCGTATCGTTGACGAAGATGGATTTGATGATCGATTTCACAAGTTGTTTATTTACTGATAAAATATATGGGGCAGCTAGATATGCGTACAGCGAATCGAACGTCACAAACGAGCGTGGCGGCGAATGTGAGGCTGAAAATTCGTTTCACTGGAAAACATATAGAAAAATATTTGATGATCGAGTTTGTTATTTATCGGTTTATAGGATACCTTCAAACTTTTAAATCTGCAATTCTGATAGGGGGCAATTATATAACAACTCGAAAGCAATCAGTATGTTGACACAGTTAAAATGATTCAAGTGATCGTTGTTGAAGCGCTATTATTTCCTCAGTCTCCTTCAGATTTTACCTAAATCCCCGTACAAAACCCTCATCATTCGTATGTATATGGTTTAGATTAAACAAAGCTAGGAGCGGACGTGTTTCAAACGAAAACGTTTGGCTGTCATGGTACGCAGGTCTTACTATCCTGCAAAAAAATGTCACACAAAGCATTCAAAGGGTCTCTTCAATAGTCCAAAGATCAGGCTATAAACCTATTCTCACGAACGATTCACTGAAAATACAAGCCTCGTAATAGTCTATAGGAGTCTACTGCTGATGAGTATGCTGGTCTGCATACAGCGGGCGTTGTTTCATCTACGATTGAACTTTTATTGCCACTACCAATCAAAGTATACCCATTTCTATACAATAAATTGAACTACAGACAAGCGCTATTACTAGAGAGCTCCGTTCTGAGAACCAGTTTGTTTATTAATAAAACCGAAAGCTGCTTGACAACATGTCATCGGAAAAAGATTCATCGTACAATTACATAAATGTGCTGGTGCATGCTCTTTCGAGAAAACGAAAAAAAAAAAGCGTCTAAACAAAGGTCCGATTCTTCGTCGTTCCTGATTGACCGACCTGTTGCTTGCGGCTAGGTTTCTTTCTCGTTCGCGACACCTGTAGTTTGACTAAATGAGATTTTTTTAAAATGAAAATTTAGGATTGTTAATGATCGGCTACTTGTAGAAGTTGAAACCAGTCGTGTAGGCGATTGCCCATATATCGCCCTATTTCAAGATTGCCCTTATCGCATATTAAATTACTCTAGCCTATCGAAGTTTTCCTTGTAGTTGAATAATAACATTAAGGACATAATAAATGAGTGAACGGTTACCCGTTAAATCTTTGTGGGCGGCCGACTCATAAGTCAAGCAATTCAATTGCTAGTTATTGCCGCGGTAAACGCTACCCAGGACGATATATCTGCATAATGCATAACATAGTATTTAGCCAGATGGTCGCTTTAACGACCTTCTCGATAATTCACCTGTTCATTACAAACGTGTGTATATACAATTCAAGTACGTTTTCTTCAAACGTATGAAGTAAACAATCTCAACGTGTACATATACCGCACTGCGTGAGCTGACTGCGCTTGCCAACGTATTCACAATCAACTGCCACTGGATACAGACGTAAAACCAGTCTACAAAGTTAACAGTCGAACTTTCTGCTACTATAAGACGTTAGCTTGATTACTGAGCCTTAGAAATGAAAGTTGCCACTTATTAAGAACTACAATTCAACTGATTAAAAATCGATCAATGCCAGCACAATCTGTTGAGTTTGGGAGGATTAATGTCACATGACTAGGATAGAACCTTAGATAATCCTAGCGCAAATTCTTGTATTCTGTGGCTAGTTCTAATAGTAAAAACCACTAACTCAGGATGGTAACCATGATTCACTTGTTGGGATGTTTCAAATTGTTTTCTGGCTTTGCAGACCCTGGCGACTCGACGGTCGTGGCGCCACCCCCTGGATTCGGGGAGCCTTATGAGGCATTACCGAACGCTGGCCTCATCGATTCTTCGTCTTCAGCCAAGACAGAAAAAGCGGTTAGCTTAAATAAAGACCAGACTCGCCGACCTGGAATAAGTCCTGCACTACATTCATTTTGTAGCGAGATGCTCGAACAAAGACCACCTTCATACACAGGGTAAGCAACTGAAAATAACTAGTTATAAATTCGTCCTGTTACTATGAATACCGTTGCCCCCATTTTGTGGTGACAAAAAGCAGCGCACATATTCAGACCGCTATCGATTCACCCTTTTTCTCACACATGATCCGTATTACGCTTACATAGCGGATGCAAGTCGACATTTCCAGTTGCTTGTCCCAATCGAATTTAAACCTCCTACTTGCGCCCGACCTGCACTTACTGCAGTTGATCAATCACCCATATGCACTATCACCATGAGTTTGTTCTAGCTATATTTACCTTTAAATTATAATACTTTACAAGCTCTAATCTTTCTTTATAATACAGTTATAGAACCATTTTAGGGTGAAGCTGGGTTCAAGTTTTAAATTTTCACGTTGATGTTAAGTATCTTGAGCAATTCGGCGCCCATATGAAAAAGTCGATATTATCCTAAAATTTTTAGTCGTTTTTTAAAAAACACCGTATAGTATAGACGTTATAGGAGAAAAAATTAAATGTTTCTTTGTTTTCTATTCAGTTACGTTGGGCTTGGAAAATTATGCAATTACAATTATGTATTATCTATAAGCCAAAATGGGCTAATGAAGCGCCATTTTGGCTTCATCAATTTCTGAAATATGTCTTCGTGATTAGAAGCTCTTTGTGATCTACTGAAGAAAGATCCACATGGAATACATTTCGTGTAGCAATACCTACAGTAAAATTACCGTTTAATGATCTTGAGGAGCAACTTTGTCTAATTTTTGTTTATTCAAATCTTTTGCCGACTCCTTTGTTGTCATAACACGACCGTCATGGTACAAATTTTTCGGATCATCCCATCCTGTACTTGTCACTCCATTTAACCTAAATTCTCAAACTGTAAACAAATACATCCACGTACTTAGCTGTGACTATTGTTAACGCAATTTGTAAACGACAATAGTAACAAAAAATGTTCACTTACAAGATAATCATGTAATATGGATCATCGTCACACATCGAGATGGCATAATACTATGCATGATGACCCAAAAATCTTACTGGTTTTTTTCATCGTCTGTGTTTCCTTATTGGGCAGCCACTTCTCCTCCAAGTGGACCATCACCTCGGATGCGACTTCCCCAGGATCTGAGCCGTTCTCTCCTACGAAAAATCGAAATCTTTTCAGCTCTATGCCCCTGAAGGCCCCGACGACTACAGTCACTCCCCCGGCACCCGTCTTCCCCGATGCAGACAGGTACAAATACGCATTCTCATACGAATAAAGAGATTTTTCTTTGTCTTTAAAACGTGTCCCTTACAAATAGTACTGCTAGATCACATTTCAAATTGTTGTCATACGGAATTGTATAAGGACGCATAGTACGAAAAAAATTCTAGTAACGAACCTTGCATATTTTTTTCTATATCCTTGGACACTCCTCTGTGAATAGTTTGATAGAGTTTAAAGGAGCCACTTAACCTGGATTAAGAAAATGCTGGAAGCAACGTTAGCTAATAGCGTTGTCCTTTTTATAGAGCATCCTTACAAGGTGTTTCTCTAGCTATCATCAGTTGCAGGATCGTTTCGGACGTTGCACATGGGTTTACACACAACGCGTTCCCAACACCCTATTGATAAAAGGGTAACAGTCTGAAGCACAAATAGATCGCAAAAATTCATAACCATATCCGTTCTACTCTCGGTATCCTTAAGTGTATCCCAAGCCAAACTGTATGGCCGTAAATATAGATCAAACCATGCACCTTTTCCGTTGCGATGTCTAATCTGTCTTGTCCTTTAAAATTTACCCACCTCTGACTTTAAAGCGGACCCTGCAAAGCACCGTCTTTGATAGCGGCTGCGAATTGCCATCAAATAGGCTCTCTCACGTACTATGTACATTCGCTAATTTACTATAGCCACCTTAGTGGTTAGCTCTTTCATCATCTATAATGCCGTATAGCTACGTCCAGCGATGCTAATTATCTACAAGATGTTTTAAGGTTCTCCATAATTCAATAAGGCAACATGATGCCTGCGTTCTCATGATGGAACCAACAGGGCCACGCAGCTCGAGGAACAGCAAAGTGATAATCTGATCGAGGAGATCTCATTGGACAAAAATGAACGCCATTTTTTGAGCCAAGGCGGCGCCGGCAGCCCTGCTCCGAGTCTGAACACATCGCCACGCGGAAAGCAGCATTCACAGTCGGTTTCATCGGATGAGGACGTGGCACTTGCCGGCGAACTTTTTGCAAGGTGTGTTTTAATCTTGGAGTTCAATATAGATCTATTGTCAACGTTAAACTGACTATATGATGCTCAGTTTTAGCGATCTCAAAGGGTACAAATGCCCGCTATCGAGTGCTACCCAGGGACGCATAGCGATGGAAGCACATCTTCTACAATGTGATCATAAATCTTCATAAGCGTATTCCGTTAAAAAAAGTTAGACACCGTTCTGTCGAGGCCGAGTGCTAAGTACATCGGTCTGCTATGTGTTGTTTATTCGTTTGACGTAAGTTTACACTTAGCGAAACTGTATTTCTACATAATTCGCGCGGCACTCACATAGAACGCTCTAAATTCAAGCGTATTTTTCCTAGTTATTATTATTATTAACGACATTAAACGATTATATATTAAGTTATAGTCATAGCTCGCGGTATCTGTCTAGCATCTTCAATATACAACGATACCTGGTGCACGCATATGCGTTAGCTGCGGGCATCACTGGCCATTGACACGCTATTGTCATAGAATAGTATTACTTTTTCTTCTCATGAACCATGCGCTTAGTACTACTTAGGAAAAAGAAAGTACGAGTTCCATAAATGAGTGTTTAGTCTGGCAAAGCTACGACCTGTGCTAACTCACTGACTTAGAATTAGACGCTGAGCGTTCTACCGATATTCGATGCTTGCCAGTTACGGTGCCTTAATGGAGTCAAACTGATGCGCGGGCCTGGGCTTGATGCAAGCCGAGTTTTTATGACGTGTCCATGAGCATATGATATATGTAAACGATTAGGACGGTGACTGCTCTGACCAGAATTACTAAAGTTCATTAAGCTAGTGCTCGTATTTTTTTTTAGCCTAGTACTTTGTTGTGCCAACACTATTTAGCCTTTTATGCAGATGTGACATCTCTGGTGTCATCCAGTGACTGGATGACTAAACAGTCTCACCGAATAGAATGAACGCACCGAAATGGATTTCCCTGTTTTCATGATCGGCCGAACCTAGCAGCTGCCTGAATTAAATGCTTGACGTAGCAGCATGAATCATAACAGTCAGCCGTAACACGATAAAGCGTGAATGATGAAGATGTGTCTGCCGTTGCGTCCGCAGGGTTTGTCCGTCCTCTCAGAAAGCCCTACTGCATGCATTCTGGCCCGTTCTGCTGTAATAGAGTTTATTGTAGCGGCTTTTTACGAAATCACTGAACATAGACCAAGCTGGTGAGATGGACAATGATTTCAATACGTTACGTGATTTCAATTTGCGTAACGTTACGGTGATGTCAATATTAATAATGATAACACATGGAGAGCAGAGGCTGGACAGTTTGTCAAGAAACAGTTTCTGCTGGAAGAAACATTTCTGGAAAGCTGTCCACGAGATATTGTGGAATTTTCGGCTCTACGAGATTCGGAGGAACACGACGCAAAGTCCTGTGCGCGGTAGAGAGTTGTAAAGAACCGGTCATGGCTCAACGCTCACTCAACAACAGGTAATGGGCATTCAACCGACTCCCAAGAGATCGCAATTTTTTTGTCCGCGAAAGCAAGGCGAAAGGGCATTCAAAAAGAAGGAATGATATACCGATGCGATACACCCGATGATACCGACCGATGCCCGTGCGCATCGGAAAGTCTTTCGATCGATACCACAATGCCAATAATTTAACGGTAAAAAATCTGCATTTGCTTTATCACCACCCAGTGAAGCTAGTAAATGCTATAGATATTTTATCTACTTTACTGTATATTTAATCTTTTTTAGGCTACATGACTAAACAGCGCTTCGAAAAAGCTAATTTATATTTAGAGATTGATAAATGCTCGGCATAATCTTTGCTTCCTTATTACCCTAGCAGATTTACTAATCTTGGGCTGCCATACGACGAAACAACGCATGGCAGAACTACATATTTCACATACTGCGTTCTGACTGTAAGGCAGAAAATAGAAAGTAAAAGGTGACGTTCTCCGTCATGCGCTCACAACTGCCGCTAGATACCGATATGTCTAATGGTGATAAATTACGTTCAGGGTAACAAACCGAATAAGCCGGGCACAGTAAAGTTGTTATAGAAACAGTTGTACGACGGATGAAATTATTGTAACGGTCAAAGAAAGTGAGATTAAGGCACACAACGATGCGATAGTTCTACCGTTATTTTTTTAACATACATGTTACATACGTGACACGTATGTACGCGTACGCATGTTTTCTATGAAAGTCTGCTGTATTGGATCTGAGCAACAATCTTCATCGTATACGATAGGCGAAGCACTGACAGAAAAGATGTGGCATCTTAATGTTGGGATGCCGGTTAATGATTTGCCGAAGATACAGTATTTAATTATCCGAAACTTAATCGACTAAAGCTGACGAAGCAGGACCTTCTATTTGTGTTCTTTGCTGTCTTTTTTGCCGAGAGTCCAACTTGAATTGACGCTAGCCTCATGTAGAAAAATCTGAACTTAAAATTGTATTGATCATTTCTAGATATAAGCAGAATAATAATAATAATATTTGTTATCCTTCTCAGATGCAAAAGCCGCAACGGAAAGGGATCTGACTCAAGTCAGGATCACCTATCTGCAACAGGTAATACATGCTGAAAGTTACAAAGTAAGTGCTGAAAAATAATTTGGCACATTAAAAATTCAATCGAATAAATTTTGAAAGGTGAACCAAAACAGCTTGCAAACATTGAGACGCTATAATTCCCGATAGTGATGATGGCTCAACTATCTAGGATCCACACTAGGCTGAAGATGTCACAGTCACATGTCCTGTCTATTAATAATGCTCCTTTACGCCTAATCCAACTTCTATTAACAGGACATATGTACATATAATCTAATCAATAGTTACCGCGATCTAAGTATTTTAAGAGGCTGCTGCTGAGATAAGTAACATTTATGCTCTATTAGATGAGATTCCGCTTCGCAGCGATACGGCCGACAGCGGTGTCGCAAGTCGACCAGGATCAGCGTTGGGTCCTTCTGGACAGCTTAGCCCGCAGATTGCCCTGAGTCCATTTGTCGTTGTGGCTATCGACTTCGGCACAACGTATTCAGGCTACGCGTACAGCTTCACACGGGACCCGGAAAGTATACATATCATGCGGAAATGGGAAGGTGAGTTAAAGCATTTTTTGCAATTTAAAATGGCGTCTAAAATATATCTAGAATAACAAAAGCGATATCTGATGTCGAAATTAAGCATCATTCCACAAAGCTAGGCCCCTAATACGAAATGGAATATACCGGCCTCGACCTGGACTACACGTTGTGGTACTCACGCTGGCTTTCTTTTGTTGCCGGATCTATACGTTAAGAAGTCTATCGATGTTTTATTTTTTTCTTATCAAAACTCGTTAGTTTCTGGACTCGCAATAGTACGCTAGTTGGGAGAAGAGTGTCTATGTAAACGGCCCCGCTAACCTTAACTTGATCTTAAACGCGCCAGATTTAAAAACGGAATGTCGTGGGACGTTGACTATATATTTGAATAGGTTATGAAGTAGTCATCAAGCAGACATCCATAAGAACTCTAAATTTTAGCACAAAAGCGGCTCTAAATAGTGTCGACGGGAAGTTCAGCTTCAGATATATTTCCAAGCCGCACTACAGTAAGCATTTCTGATCGTAGCTTGCTAATCCTAACGTTTAATGTACAGGTACACTTAACAAATATATGGCTCTTAAAGGTGTGAAATTAGCAAAAAAAAAAAAAGGCTGTGAGCATCATCAGCAATTATTATTAGCAATGGTTATGAATACAGCATCAAGAGAACAGGGTATATTTCAACTTTCATAATGATGATGGTGGTAAAATAAATAGCAACAGTCGTCGATTCGCTTTTTATGTTTCTACAAGATACAAGAGTTTAGTCTCAAACATCTTGCTAGTTGTTATAAATGTACAGACGACACCTAGCATTCACTTCACTGCCACAGAGCGAAATGTCCTTCGTCTTTGATAAGAGACATGACTTCTGTGTTTGTACTAATAATGACTTTATATTCTCAAAATAGATTTCATTACGGTTACCATTCAACGCTCATCGCCGCCGGCATAAAATGCAGAGGACGCACATGTAAAACCACGCGTGATTTCAAAATGTTCTAAATGTGAGGTATTTTGTACGGTTTAGAAGTATTTGAGCAGTTTAGGTTAAAAAAGCTGATCGATATCAAACGATCAGTAATGTAGTTATGGAATCGCAATTATCATTATCATTCTCGTGTGATTTTACAAGTAGCATTTTCCTGCATATCATCAGATTCTTATAGATGACCCTCTAACTCATGGAAGCCTGTTGTACATTTTCTATGTACTTTTTTTTAGAAAGTTTCGCATCTTCTACTTTTTCTCCTAAAGAGATCATCTGAAAACTTTGTTTCGCTGAAGCATATCACTGAATCATCTTTATACAACCGATCGGAAATGAATATTCTACCATTCTTTTCTCTTTGGCCCTTTGACTCTTTGGCCTATTTTTAAGTCTTCGGTAGCTCAACGAAGGCTCGCTACTTTGTCAGTCCTCCTCCGTTTGTTTTTCCATAAGTGCCGCTAAAGTGTGTCTTGAAATGGTCAAAATTGTTCCACTGGAGCATCACTTTTTTTTAAGCCCTTCGATACACAAGGAACTTTTACGTATCCGAATTGGCGTGGCTAGCTCGGCAGCAACAGTAGCGTCATGTTGGTTTTGCGCTTTGTGGAACTTGCTTTGAGACTGGACAAGTTCGCAGCCCTTTCGCCTGCACGATATCACGACCACGCATTATGTAGTGCCTATGTGATGGAGATTTATCCCGGCGAACGTATACTCCTGTCAGTTTCCACACGTGGGCGTCGGTGCTCAATCGAAGTTGGATTTAGTTAGTAACACTGGACAATATTTCAGGATGACAGGATACAAAGGAAACAAGCTAACAAGTATTGATGATAAAAGACGAATAGGCAACTTCGAAGTGTAACTAGTCAAACATCACTGGAAAAAAGTTACAGGAAAGGAAGCTTACAATACGGACACTACGGCTTCCGCCATTGAAAATGGTGGTGCCGTCCTCATCGGTGCCATCCGTTCACCGTCCGTTCTGAATGACGGCTCATCGTGGTTGGTCCACTTGGTCGTGTTGATCGTCCACCTTACGTCTCTGTGAAGGTGCAAGCTTAACGCTTAGACGCACTTCATTTTGCGCTAGCAGGCAGCAACCTAAAGCAATGCGTAACTCTAGTATCCGACGTAAAATTCGAAACATTGTTTTCTCATCTGCCAACCGTTTTTTTATCAATCACTCCACAATTTTATCAGAAGCGCCTGCATGAAGATGGGTCTGCTGAAGCAGGAGCTTTTCAGCCAAATTTTCAAGGAGACTCCTCCTTTATAAAGACGAAATGTTTGTGCCCGAGCGCATACAACAGTGAATATGTGCTAATCGTTGTTAAAAGGTCATGCTCGTAACTAGTATAGGATATGGCGTGATTTGGTATCTGTGCGAGATTGATCTTGTTTTTGGATAGGTCTCTGGTTAAGTGCTTGCCATTATACAGAACACCTGAGTACTGTTGCTAACGGCGTCAGTCGATCTTTTTGGGTCAGGCACCGATTATTAGAATGAGATACAAAGAGTGGTAACGGCTGCGAAGGTACACATTTGCATCTGTTGAAGTATACTATCAATTTGAGAGAGTTGAAATTGTAGAGAAAATCAGTCTGCAGTAGAGGAAACCTTGTTGTCGTTGTTGTTGCTGTTTTAGTATATCCCAATTAGATTACACAACTATACCAAGAGAAAGAGCACAGCTTTCTAAAACGATCCTTTAATTCTTGTTTTTTTTTCCATTTTTTTTTCAATCGAGTTTTAATTTTCTGGCCGGCAAGCTAGTCGCTCATCGCAATAGTATCTGCTACACAACTTTATTGGATGACCAATAAAGATGCCCTTAGTCCCTAATTTTAAAGAAAGGTAATTCATGTTGGCTGTTAAAATCGTAACATGAACATAATATAAATGCGGAGCTTTAACTTAGAGCTTAGAGAGCATTTAGCTTCGTTGACCCAGTTTCTTCCCCCCTAGCTGACCCGTCAAGACAATATAACTTCGGAGTCATCGATAATTGTAACTCGCCGAAAACGAAAAACTACCAAACATAGTCGTCATCATACAGTGTGCAGTATTAACAAAACTGAGAAAAACAATACTGTGTTAATATGGACTAAAGAATACGCTATACTTCTTTAGGGTCAATTACAATGAAATTATTAGCAGAGCAGAGATAAATTCGATTTATTTTTTAGGAAAAAAATTAGGTTAACTTTATCAAACGTTTGTAAAAAAACGTTACGGTTATTTTATATTATTTGAATCATTGTAATCTATTGACTCTTGTGCAATAATTTCAAACCTGCTGATTTAGAGAACTCAAGAAATATCCAGCACTTCTTTCGGTATAACTTTATACTTCACAGATATTTCCATTATGGTCGTCTTCTGCACCCGTTTTTCCAGTGCTTAAATGCAAATGCACTTATAAAACATTATCTAAGACTAAAAATTATCTAAAAAACCAACAACTCCCATTTTCTACATTTAAACCTCAACGTAAATAGACGTGTCTGCAGAACTAGAATGGTGAATTCTCGTTTTACCGACACCAAGCGTAAGAATTCACTTCAACAAGAAAGACTACGCCTGTGTATCCAGTTAAATAGATGGCATAGCACGAAGTACACAAGCTTCAGCGAACTTAACTAAGCGAAAATAGCTTCGAAATCTTAAAAAACATTACGGTTTATTGCTCAGACAGTTGAAGCATAGCGAGTATGAAACCCAAGGGTGGAAAGGAGCGGACAAATGAACTCGCATTCTTCATCAATGCATCGTTGCGTACTATCTCATCAATAGATACCTCGAACATCTGCTAAATAAGCACCAAGCTTGTCGATGTATCGGTCAGGTCGATGTTTAGTGATAACAACAACTCGTATATAGAGGCTTACGGCATAGATAAACTAGCTTTGGCAAAAGAGAGTGGTATAGCCTTATGCAGGCGCGCATTACAATCGAAGTTGCTAGAGCTGGAAGATAGAGAGTAGCATTACCTAACATTTTCTGCGCTTGTTGTTAATAATTTATTTGTTAGGTAATTGGAAAGTCTGCTAATAAAAACTAATTTGTATTAAGGACATCAGTGTTCGAACAGCAAGCTCCCGACCGTCTAGCTATTAAGGTCCACTTGTGAACGCAATACTTTAATTCGTTAAGGACCAATCTAATCATACTGGGGTGTTTAGGATTGCTTCGACGCCGCTACAAATCGGGCTACTGAAATCCCTCGGTCGACGGCTTTGGTTAAGACTCGCGACTTCGATTAAGTCATTCAAAATTTCGTTAGGTCTTCATTTTGCTAAACTTGTACAGAAATTTAACTTCACATACGTAATTTAGCTTTATGACGTCTCATTTCCATGTGTTCTAGGAGGTGATCCGGGTATTCTCAACCAAAAGACTCCAACGTCTGCACTGCTAACGCCGGAAGGCGAGTTCCACTCGTTTGGATTCGCTGCCCGTGACCATTTCCATGACCTCGACGTTGAACAAGCTAAAAAATGGTTATATTTCGATAAATTCAAGATGACCCTACACAGCTCAGAGGTAAACATGCCAGTAACTTCGTGCTAGATTCTATGGTTCCATAGCATCATTCGGAACACCACGGTGTCAGTAGTATTTGAGCTCTGTATAGGTACACGCATAGCGAAGTTTGCAACCAACTAAAACGTAATGAAATTTTCCCTTTGTCTTGAAGACTCTGTAGATAACTAAATTTTTCAAATAATTTATAAAATCGATGATTTTTTACACCATCTTTCGTCGCTTCTGAGCACCAGTACCTTACCTGATGAAGACAAGCCCACGAAAGAAACCAATAGCTCCTAACCTCGCAAACGACACACATTACATAAACTGTGTGAATAAAAATAAGCTGTCTACTATACATCGATTCGGCTATGTCTTCTAAGCTTCTAGTCAAACAAAACCGAGATAGAATGGATCTTCTTTCTGATGCCAGCCGTTTGTTTGAGCCCTTTAATACGATCAGCATTCTTCATAAGGCCGTGCAATTGTCCATCGCTTCACACTGGAAATGTATTCGTTAACCGGAATGCTTTTCGAAGGCAATCGAGACCACTATTACCTGAACATTTCGGCAGCTTTGTCTGAAATCAAACTTGTCCATTTCCACTCAGTGGCTGCTGATTTCTCTCCCATTATCACCAACGTCACGACCATCATTTCGACGGAAGAAAGGAGACGGAAGCAATATTTTGCCAAGTTGATAAACGCAACGATCAACAGTAGCGGGCGACTATGAAGTGACAGCAATCGATTTAATAGTTTAAACAAAAGCTATTTGTATACCAACGATGACTAGAAATACTTGGAACAATGAACGCCCGGTACGATGATGATGATAATAATAATAATTCCTATTGCTTCATTTTAGCCGTTTCGTGGGCATGTGGTACAAGACACGAAGAGACTCGCGTTCCTCCCTCTGCAAACGAATACCAGCCTATTTTCTTTAATACTCCATCCTTTTGTACTGTCGCGACTGAATAGTCTAATCAGAGGTAACTAAATTGTATTTCATAGGGGCTGCAACTCTAGCGAACGCTGTGCTACTGTTTATCAGCGAGTCGTGCCGTATACAGATGAAGATCCTGATAAAAACTTAATTTAGCTGCAATAGAGATTGATGAAGGTACGACAAATGGCTGCGATCGACTGTGAACATAACTCGTATTAACATAAATAATCACAACAGCCCCAGCTGCAGTCCGCAGTAGAAGGGTACGGTAAGACGACACGAGCAGAACCGCGCAAATAGTAAGTTTCGTCCACGTGTATGTCTGTCGGTGGCCATTTGCGTCGACTTCGGTAGACTTCTTCTCGGTCAAATAACAAGCCGCCCATGTTTTCTTGTGGCATTTTTTATTTATTTTTTTGAAAATTGTCTTCGACTAGATAAAACGAGGTGATTTGTTCATCGGCAGTCCATTCAAGTTCGTAGTAGCAATTGTAGCTGGGCGTAGCGTAGTTGACGATTATCCGACAAAAACGATGTTGAGGCAAGGTCCAGAAAACAAAACAGAGATAATAATTGTGGTACTTATATTATTTATTTTTGTCAACGTCACGATAATGTTATGGCGTGGCGGATGAAGATCTGCCATTTTGTTAATACTGAGGTATATTGGTTTAGAAGAAGTTCGGTCATTCCTAAACATTGGGTACCGATGACCCGCGCTTATAGAGGATTGCCTCCGTCAAGCAATGAATTGAATTAATTTTCGACCTGAAGATCGCATACAAAAAAAAAGCGAACACTTCAGAATCTAGGAACCTGGCTCAGATTGGGACTTTCTCACTGCATAGGAAGGTTAAGATGCTCGGTCTGAGAAACCACAGGAGCAGACGAAAACAATGAGCAAAGATACATTGAAAATAAATCGGCGGTACTTTAGAGATAAGGCTCGCTACAAAGGTGCCGTTTCCAACTGCAGAAGAGGGCGTACGTACTAGGCAGAATCCGCGAAAGTTTCGGATGCAATCGTTGAAGACAAGATTGGGTCGGTTTTCCTCTTCCCACTAACCTAATGAAAAAATCCGATATGTCTTTGCCGCTGCCGCCGACGCGCCTGACCGCCTGCGTACGTATTTTCCATTGCAGACGAAGTTTTAACTCAACTTCTAACTTCGAGGAACTTGCTTGTATCCAATGTCGTAAGGCATAAAGTATGTTGCCAAGCGCTCAAAAACTCAGCACTAAATTGAATTGACTATCGGCCCTGAGTCCTGCTGTCGAGCAAAATTCAATTTTTAACCATCGACAACTTGGCCAGAAACGGAGTTGAACGTATGTTGAATAAATGAAAAAGTACGAGTACCGTTTCTTACTAAATTGAAAAAATATGCAAATTCAAATGTAGCCGCTATTCTACGCGGAGGTCGTAAGTTAAACAGAAGCTCCGAACAGTTATGATAGGAGTGATATATTTTTCCGTTTCGTCAGAAGAAGACTCGATTTTGCACAAGAGATGAGCCTATTAAAAAAGGACGTTCTCGCCGTACGCATTTATAGTGGTGATGAACCTACGCATGGCTAGTAAAAGCTAGTTTCCATTAGACAGTCGAACTGACTGCTGATTCTTGTCTGAAGTTGCATTACAACGCGGATGAGTGAATACGGGAATTTTTTTTTTGCTCCAGCTGGTGTGTAATCATGGATAAAATTTACATCAGGCGTTTCACCGTCTGCTTTAATGGATGGTGTTTGGTTCATGCATTACAATTGAAAAGTATGCAGGTTCAGCTAGTCGGCCTGAAAACTCAACGCGCTTTATTAGTCATATGACGGCATACTCGTCCTCCCTGGCTTGAGCTTTGTTATCACCCATCAACCACCTATAAATTATTTAAACGAGGGTTAGATAAAGCTGAAGTCTCCTGTTCTCTACGATAAGCACTGGGAATTGCCCAACAGCATGACGATATTCCAAAATTATATCCCGTTGTCGTAATATTTCCACACTATCCATTCCATAATGTAGGCAAATGTGAATTGCATGAAAGTGATATAATTGTACATGTAACATGTAGGCGCAGAGTTATATATGACAAATCGGATTTCCCGCGACGTTTTGTACCGGTATTTGGGGGTTCTACAAATTTATACCAGACGTTGAAGTCTCTGCAAGTCTGACAGCTGAAACGGAAATGTCTCTTCGATTTAAGCTAGAAATACCTAAACGTATGTTCACCATAGGTTAGGCCGTATGCTAGAATGGATTAGAAGCATGTATTATATGAGTTGTAGAAAAAACAAGCTGTGCATTCGGTGAGCCGAATAAGAAAGCCGTGTGACTTATTGCGAACCGTGTGCTTGAAGCAATGTGGTGTATATATTTCTCTAGAGTGAAGCACATTTAGAATTTAAAATCTTTTAAGCGTTTTTTTGAATTCCGTCGTTTCAAACTGAATATGTTGCGCTGCAAACATTAATAGCTGAACGAACCGGCCAAATGATCTTAGGAAAAAATAAATGTTCACGCCTTTTATCGCATAGATGCTCAATAAATATTAAGTGTAAGCATAAATTAAAATGAACCAAACGATAAAACTATTAAGCAATTCAAGCGCGACAGAAGCTCTGCTTCAGATAGGTATTTTTTTTGTAAATATGAAGGATTTCAAATAAGTACGTTCGTCTGCTTCCGTTCGTCCTTGAATCCTCCTAGAAACTCACAATCAACTGATATGAATGAACATTCGATGGCTGGCAAATTTCCAGTCCACCAATTCTGTTCGACCGGGCCCTGATGAGGTCATATCCCTCGCGCAGCTGGGGCTCAATGCCGAGCTCCGAAATATGTATTAAAATATTGAAGCAGCTATCGAAAATGCTCGAACACAGAAGAAACTTTAATCGATCGAAAATAAACAAAAATGAAAAAGCCAAAACGGAGAGAAAGAGAGAGAGGGAGTGAGAGCAAGTGTGCGTGCATGAAAGAGGTAAAGAGTGAACGTAAGTGTTTATGTGTGTGTGTGTGTGTGATAGAGAGAGAGAGAGAGAGAGAGAGAGGAGAGGGGGAGAGAGATCCAAAAATTTGTTTCGGAAATTGTGACACTTCAACGAAAATCTTGTAAAGCACTCATTAATTCGAGCTGGTGCTGCTGCTGCAGTGTTTACGAAATGAGTCCTTGAGCCGTAGGAGCCTTAGTTGGACCTCAAAAGCGACTTGAAAATGTTCAATGTTTTTTTTTTACTCAAGCGTCGCTCGCCTGCAGGAAACGGGCTGGAGTGAGAAAAATGAAACAGCAACGGCAGAAAATGCCATTTTTATATGGACCCACCATGACGATTAGAAGTAATGCGTAACTAGTCTTCCCCAGGAAGGTTTCAAGGCCGTACTTCAAAGGCACAAACGAATCTGTGAAAGAGCTTGTCGGATTGTTTTTATTAGAAGATCTAATCAGATAGTTAGCGAACGACAGAAAATATGTTTATCTTTCGTAATTGCTAAAAGACGAGCTAGTGAACGACACGAATGGATTCACATTGAGTTTTAATGAGACCAGTGTATATGGACACTCTCAGTTTGGTGGCAATTCGTAAACACAGCCAGCTGACGCTTGAAAATCGATCAGGACTGATGGCACGTTAAGGAGGCTGTAACAGGTGAACGCGAACTTATAATTACTGTTAACTCTAGGCAAAACAAAGAGAGGTTTTAACTCTGCTTTCTCAAAAGGGTAACCGATCATTAAATAGGCGAATATATGGTTAGGCGGGAACTTGGGTCTAGCCAAATCAAAGAACAACTTGAAGTTATGAAAACACGTTTGCGTGTATAAAACAAAACTATTATACACTAAGATTATCCAAATGTTCGCTCTTGGTAATTTTAACTAAGAGGTTAGAATAATCTTTCAGCTCTAGCCGCCTCAGTGACCATAACAGTCAATCCCTTTTTAAAATAAACAACTTGCCCTTAGAAATCATTAAGTTTTTCGTCGGACTTCTTCGTAGTTATTTAGATTTTTATGAACTTCAATGAGAGAATCGCGAATAGAAAGTAGCAATATAGATTATTTTCATTCAAAGACATACCTTCCTGTTGATTTTATTTTCAGAACCTCACCCGAGATACTGAAATACGAGCAGTGAATGGACGCCCACTCAAGGCGCTTGCCGTGTTTTCGATGGCTTTGCGTCACTTCAGAGACCAAGCTCTACGAGAAGTTCGAGAAGCCGTCCCTGGGCTTGCTTTTGAGGACATCCGTTGGGTGATTACAGTACCTGCTATTTGGAGACAGCCGGCAAAACAATTTATTCGAGCTGCAGCTTATAAAGTACTCATCGTTCTGCTGCTGTGAAAAATTTCATTTTCTTTAGTCGATACAGCCAATTAGGGCCAAATGCATATACATATATATATATATATGAAATCCAGATTTCCAAACTAAATCCATGCTAGCGATAACGGCGGTAGCAATAGCTAGTTACAACGGATGGGGACTGCTGGGCTATGGCTAAACGGGTTTGCTGCGCCAGCCCAATTCGAGTTGTTTGCTGCAATATGAGTAGCTTCGTATGCTATTGTGGCGTATCAAGGCGATCGTCAACAGCCTTGGAAAACAGGGATTCGGGTCGAGACCGGGTTTGATTCTCATCAGGTATTAACCCGGTTTTAATGCCTAGGATCGGTCGTTCCAAGTCTTGAAATACGTACGAAGTATTTATTTACAAGTATCCAGCTATAATTTAGTACTATTATGCCCCTGATGCCCAAGCTGAGCCCAAAACGATACTCATGTAGAACTGTCTCGGATTCACAGCATGCACGTCACAGGGGAACCGACAATTTTTGTTTCCGGAGTGTGAAGTAATGCCAATAGTAGTCCGAAAGCGTTACCCAAATAGTTGTAATAATCTGCGCACATTGAAAACAAAGATCGAATTGATGAAAGAACTTTTTCTTTGTCGTTCCTCTATTCTTCAGGCTGGCATTGGCAGCCCGGAGAATCCGGAGCGTGTCGTGATCGCTCTTGAACCTGAGGTGGCTTCTGTGTATTGCCGTAAGCTGAAAGTGCATCAACTTATGCCCGACGCGCCACCATCGAACAAGATTTTCTTTTTGCGCGACCATGTCCCTGACTTAAACCTTCAGCAAGCCGTTGATGAGCAGCAGGGTACGTCTGTATACATATATACAACATGATCGGACTAATGATGTATACACGTCTGCATGATTGAACATTCCGTGGTTAATATTATATTCACGTTGCATTGCATACGATCGGAATCTTCCCCATAACCTGTCGTAGATTTAGTTTCTCACATATACATATCATGTGTTTGTTGAAACGAGACAAAAACGAATTCTTTTCGAAATAACGAAAGTTATCTCTCATATGGCGATTATTTGAGGAGCGTATTCCGAAAAGAGCGGGACTTTCCGAATGAACTAGTGGGGTTACCAGACGATTCGGATGTCACTCTATTTGAATAAATCAAACAAACTATCTATGACAAGCACTTTGAGAAGGTTTTTTTCACGCTGGATCCTGACAGCTTGGACTCAATTTATCCATCTTGAAACTGCCATATAACAATGCACTCAGTGGGGACAATCTGAAACGACGGTCGTTGAACAAGGTATCTATCTAACCTTACGAATATGATTATTGTGACAAAGCAATCAGCGCGTGACCAGGACCAGACAGGGTTTGATCGAGTGTCTTCCTGACATCATCCGAATTATCATATCATTCGAAAGACTTTTGTATGGATGTAATACAAGGGGAAATGTTCTTGAAACAGAGAAAAATCTTACAGCTTACTACCTACATGAACTGTTCGTAAATATTCTGTGCTAGCAGCCGTTCTCCTCATAATCGTTCCTAACAATGCCATTAACCTTATTACCCATAGCAATAACCTATCAATGCATGGGAAAAGTCCACTGTATTAGCGATATAATAGTTAAACACACATAAAAAAAAAGGGGGGAAAAATACTTGTAGTAATCCATTAACGAACTTTAACATCTACGTTTATTTGTCCAGCTGCGTGCAACTTTGAACGACCTATTACGGATGGCGGAAGCTGCACAAGTTACTAGTAGCGGCTTAGCCTCAGGCAACGATTGGTTTCGACTAACACTGAATTTTGCATGATTTCTAAAACTGCTTTGAAGTTACTCAGTGTGTCTCGTAGTGTTCTGATAAGGGTGCCGGTGCAGTTAGAATTTTTAATGCTCTAGGTATTAAACACCGCCGGAGGCGCGGTAACAACCAGTGGCACGTCATAAAGACGTCATCAGACCCCCTAGCGTCTACAACTGAACCATAAAAAATTCCTTCAGAACCATCAAAAAATAACTCCGCACGAAATTCCATTTTGCGTTTCATTATTTGAGTGTAACATACTTTGGCGGGAGTTTGGCCCTCTATGGCACAAATCAAAAGTAGTCGCTGACGAAATCCTTGTCAAGTTATTCGATACGCTTATGGTGGCGAAAAATCGTGCTTACACATTTCTATGTACATACAGACAGTCGATAAACAACATACATATTCAAGTGGAAAAAAACACAGCTGATAAAAGAGCGTTCTCTCCCGCCAGATGTCATAATGAAATTTGTTTTTTGGCGCGACGCACCTTCGTTAACAAAAAATACTTAGTGAGGCTATTTTATAAAGATAGTAAGATAACAAGACATGTAGATAGGTCTTTAATTAAGTAATATTGTAAACCTAGACTGCATTTGTTGCTTAGTAATATATGTTAATTTATTTATTTTAAAGGAATATAAAGTTGCCTTACTCCATATCGCACGCCAGCCTATCGATATCTTGAAACGAAATCCTAAGTACAAAATCGTCAATCTGCAGTCGCTACGCTTGCATCCAGTGCCAACAAACACCCTTCTTTCCGCTGTATCAATTTTATCTATACGTCGATGCTCTTGTCTGTATAGGTATTTTTGCTCACTTTTAGCTTTATCTGTCCTGCTTTAGCCTATTTTCTATGTTTTCCTTCGCTTGATCTTTCTTTTACTTCTTATTTCTTGGCGCCTATCCGGTCCGTGGCCTGCTTTTCCTATTTCTTCTTGCAGACATCTACTGCGGCTTCGGCGGCCTTGTTGAGGGAACCTATTCAGTGATCTCTGAAGTTCCGGCAACTGTAGCATCAGTTAACACGGTCGCCATCACCTCATCTCTTCTGTCTCCGTTTATGCACGGCAGTATGACACAAATTAGCCACAATCATCAGTACTTATATACAACTCTATATAGCGGTGCCAATGTCTCAACATCGAGCACTCGGAGCCGAGTAGAGCGCTTCGAAGACTGTCTGACGCGAGGTAATCTGCGTTCGATATGGATGGAAAGCAGAATGCTCTTGTGGGTTTAATTGGGTTGGCAAGTTTGCGCGTGTGGCCGATGGCTGAATTGCAGTAACGAACGATTAGGACAGAGCTGTTTATTGCTGTCGTATCTTATTTTTGACATGATGAGATATGATTGAGTAATGGTACCACACCTTGTAATATCAGAAGGCCTTTGCTTTCGGCCCTTTCTTCATTTCGTGAGAAAAACCTAGGACAAAGTCTAGCACAAACTATGGTCATTTTACCGTAGTGTCATAGATCATATACGGCGATCGTTTGGTTCAATTCAAATCGCACGGCGTATCACTTCCACGAGTGTTGCTTACTGATTTGTTTAGCTAATGCAAAATAATGTCTTGTAAGTAGGAATTGATTAAAATCTTGGTCAATTTTATAGCGCACTTACTGTGGGGTAGGTGCAAGAAGGGTATCCGTCCAAGTGCTGATTTGATCTTAAAAAAAATGCCGGATCAACAAGAAGAGCAGAAGACAACAGTGCATGTAATATCATTGATGGCAGTTAGGACGTGTTTCCTAGGATCTAAGATTGAAAGTAACTCTTGCCGGCTGTTTCGGATGATTGCTCATGGAATAATACGCTTACTATATGTTCTTCGAATAACACTTGCTTTAGACAAGAAATACAATTCTTGTATTCCTTCTAAAACGAAAATTGAGGGGAATTTTTGAGAAAGTGTTGGGCGGCGAACGGCTGCCTCGGTTCATTTATCGCTACTATAATCACCATCGAGTTGGCGCATGTCCAACAATCTTAGGCACACGATATATGGTCGTGGACTGTGGAGGCGGTACGGTTGATATAACGGTGCACGAGCTACGTGACGCGCTCGGCACACTCAAGGAGATCCACAAGGCCACTGGTGGACCCCATGGGTCAGTAGGGGTAGACCTCGAATTTGAGCGACTCCTCTGCGATGTCTTCGGAGCCGATTTTATTGGCCAATACAAACTCAAAAGGTATGGTAGGCGTATTTGCTTAAGAACCCACAAGTAGTCAAGCTCTGCAGGACGTTCCTATAGAGAACAACAAGAAATTCATTTTAGTTTCCCTGCGACTAATTCCCGCACTCAGGCAATTTTATACAATATATGTGAACAACATGTTTAGGAATGATTTGCATAAACTCATTCAATGATCTAGGCATTAAATTATCAAGTGTCTGCTTAGTGAATAAAACTTATCAATAATTAAACAATGTATACACCCTTGTCTACGTTTCCTTTGATTAAGGCATCTCTCTGACAACGTTCACTTGTGTCCCTTTGATGTACTCCTACGCACAGATCATCCGGTTGGGTAAACCTTATGGTAGGCTTTGAGGCCCGCAAACGGAGTGTTAGCCCGTATAAAGAGACCCCGCTCAACATCTCTCTGCCGTTTTCGTTTATTGACTATCACAAAAAGGTTAAAGGATCCTCGGTGAGTTCTTCTGTTTTTCCGCGAGTCTTCGCAGCCATATTGATAAACCACTATGCGACATAGTCAGTTCACATTTGTGGTAGCATTCAAAGTGTGTGTGGTAGCATATAAAAGTGTACATTTATATAGCTTTATAGAATGGCAGTTCCCGCCATGCTGTTCGTTATCGCTTTTCCGTTAAAAAAATACAACTACAAATCCTTACTATATTATTCATATCTGTTCTAGGTGGAGAGTGCCATCAAGAAGTTTGGCAGCAAAGAAGTCAAGTGGTCACCCCAGGGAATGCTAAGGTTAGAAGCGCGCCTCATGTTAGCTCTATTCCGGCCAACGTGCGAGGCAATCCGCGAGCATATAGCGGCTGTTCTCGATCACCGCGGACTGAAAAATGTCCGTTATCTTTTCCTTGTTGGTGGGTTCGCGGAGTCGCAGGTTTTGCAAAAGGCGATACGAGACGAATTTCATTCAAAGGTAAGTAAACAAGAGCTATTTAAACTTACTGTTCATATCATAAGCAACTATTGCCAATGATTTTAACTGCGAACAGAGCTACAAAAATATCTATGTGGAGATAACATACTTAGCATAAACTGTTCGCCGTCCAATTGGAAGGACCGGCCTTATGCACGACCTGCTTTTACTCCGTTGGTTCACTGTTGTTTCTTCTTTATAGGTAAAAGTAATTATACCGCAGGGCGTCAGTATGGCGATCCTTCGCGGAGCTGTACTTTTCGGTCTCGACCCGCAAGTGATTCGTCAGCGACGATCTCGGATGACGTACGGAGTCGGCATTCTGAATCGCTTTATACCTGGCGTACATCCGCCATCGAAAAAGATCGTCAAAGATGGCGTAGAATGGTAGATGGATATTTTTCTTGCTATCTAAAAATACCATTACTCATTTATTAACCTTGTCAGTACACTTAGCTGATGACTATCTTTGCCGGTAGGTACTGAATGGCAACACAGGTATATCTTTTATTGTCCTTCATATTTACTGAATTGTATATATTCGGCACACTCTAACTGAAGAGAATATTCATTGAATTCACTCTCTTTCCTGTACGCGGGCGTCCGCAGGTGTGCAGACGTATTCGACAAGTTTGTCTTGGCTGATCAGAGCGTAAATGTCGGCTCCCAAGTTAGGCGTTCTTATACACCTGCGGCGCGTGGTCAAAGCGTGTCAATAATTCACATTTATTGTAGTGATCGGGATGACGTTTGCTTTATTACTGATCCGGGCGTGCAGAAATGTGCGACCCTTGTCCTCGACCTGACCCAGCCACCCCCGCCCAATAGTGGGATGCTGTCAACAACAGGTAACTAGCTAGACGAACGTTTGTGCTCGACCCAAACATCCACAACGATACACATCGTTCAATAGGTTTCTCTATACATGGCGTGTAAGTTTTCAAATATTGAAATGAAATGTCACAATAAACGCCTCGAGATGAAGAAATTCTTTAGAGCGATTGTTTAGCAAGTGTCAACAAACAGTTGAGTCAACTTACAAAATCACCTCAAATTATAGCGTTCGAGAAAAATCATTCGACTTACCATACCATGACTGAAAATCTGACCACGCGCACCAACATAAAACGCGCTGAACATTTCTGTATTAGCCACAAACTTCTACGCATAATTTCGAATAATATTTAACTATGGAGTTTATTATATTAATGTACGTAATCGTACCCGTGTCAACGCACTTTTCAGATCTTTCGACAGAGAATGATATCCCCAGGGAACGTTGTGTAGATGACGGCCGTCGCGAAATCGAAGCTCTAATGACATTTGGAGAGACCGAGATCAAGGTTGGTAACTTTCAGATTTTTCATTTAGTTTTATAGCTTGGTAGCTCTTCCCGAGCCCACTCGATCCCTGCCTACGTCCAACTGTAATATTGTAAATAAGAAAACAACAGTTAAAAAGTTATAGGAGTTTGTAAAACGAGCAAAAGAAGTATGTGCATACACATTTTATGTAATAAACGTGGATATGGTATTGTAGCTTCAATGATCGCGACTGACAGATTTCTTCTACCTATACTAATTTTGTTCGTTCATCTGACAATGCGACCCGTTTCTAATCTATCGACGTCTACGAAATGTGGGCAGATGGCCAATTTACCCTGGGTACGCTAGAATCAAGTTTGATCTACCTGAAATGGTAACGTCGTTGGGGCTTCGGTAGAAGGTTGATTAAAAGTCGAACGAAGAGGCCGATCGAGTTATTGCTGTGTTACGCAATTCCTAGATGCCTTAGTAGACTTTTCGATCGTGGGTAGGAGGACTTGACGCAATGGGCTTGACCAGAAAACTTTGGCCACTGTCTAATTTATCACTTGTCAGCATGGTTACTTCAAGACGATTGCGGTTCTTATCGCTATAAAGATTCCGAGCCTTGTGTCCGATACTGCCGTTAAGCATTGCTTCAGGTAACTTCCTAATCAGTTAAATTATTTTTCAATTTATCCATTGACAGAATCCCTCGCAAATGTACGGCCTCAGTTCGTTCGAATCATGTCATATAATAATTATATATGTATTACATGTTCCAACTTGCGGTAAAAAAAATATATTATAATAAGTGGCGTCTCTGTAGAAGCTAGCAAATAAGATAATATTGTTTAATTTAGTTCTATTGTTCTCTTAATTTTTACGTGCCTTTCTCTCGGTGTCTTCCCCGTAGGTGAGCGCGTTAGACATCGGAAGTGGAGTCTGTGTGAAGGCCGACGTAGATTTCCTCAGCGTATAAGAGCGAAACATAATGATGAATAAAGAATGGCGGTGATTTGCACCTCAACAGTAACTCAACGGTGATTAGATGAGATTGTGCTTAACCTCATAAACGCGCAAAAGGCAACCATCCAAGTCACAAATGAACAATGATGCTGATTAGCCTATAAAAGTTCAGAATTCCGCGGCGTTTGGCAGGCAGTCACTCAGCGGAAAACGTAATTACTGCTTGTACGTTTTCGTAACGTCGTTGCCACTGTCGATCTGTGAACTGTAGTAAACCCCCCGAGAATCGACTCTAAGGGCCGTCGTGTTTGAAAAAAAATTCAAAAGAGGTTGTCTTGCTGCTGAGTTATAGTTGTTCCTGCGGGGAGAGGGAGGCATTCTAGCAATAAAACCGTCGTTTTCTGGTTTGGCCAGATACGGAGCGAAGGTCAGATCGAGATTCGCGATCCGATGCTTCGTATTCCTTATTGGCACGAGATGACCAAAATGCAGGGCAGGACGGGACAGTTGGGAAAGAATTGGAAGCAAATAAGGTTCTGTTGCGAAGGAGGTGCCCGACAAATACAAATGGTACTACTTCTGGGTGTCATCCGTCACCCATTAAATGCGTGTGCCCGCTGGCAAATTGACGGATACGTTATGGTTAAAAAGGAGTTGGGTATTTTTGTTATTTATACTCCAGGGAATAACAACAATAATAAAAGTATATTGGTAACAATATTAAGATAATATTATGCATACTTACGGTCAAAGACACAATAATACTAATTATTAATCGAGCCAGTGATCGCACGGCATCGACAAACAGGCTTGCTTAAGGCCAGCGCTATACAGCCGACACAGTGCAAGTGTCCTATATTACTCCTGTCCTACTTATAGAGATCGTTATGATAAGCCGAAAGAAAATAATAAACGGTGCGTAAACAAAATGTTGTTTTCAATAGAAAATGTGTTCCATATATAATGGCCAGCACGTATTCGAGTGAGTAGAGTAACGTGAACTGAGAACGAATTAGCTGTTTAGAGGCAGACTTAACCACAAATGGACTTCCGGATGAAACTTTTCATTGGAAGTTAAAAACGTTAGTTCCTGGGAAAAAAGATGCAAATCCTTAAGCAATCAGTGTTTCCTGTCGGTCCTGTTCCGTAAGTACGAGCGAATTTATCATCGAAAGTAACATAGAAAGAAATGCTGCATATTTGATTGCTATGAGACCCAAACGTCGATCAGAAGTGGGTTGTATCCTACACCCGAGTGCTTCCTTTATTAGCCCATTCGTATCAGTACCCACCACGCTTGCTAAAGACAAGTTAATGGATTCACGTAGGCAATACGGAATTTATATATAAACTCCGTATTACCTACATGAATATATATGTTTAACGGGTTATAAGGACGCTCAGGGCCGTTTCAATACTTTTGCCTACTACGTATGCTAGCGGGTGCGCATGCTAAACCTTACGGGAAACAGGCATACGTATAGTTGTGGTAATTTTCGTCAAAGAAAACACGGCGGTGCTAGAACTAAAATAATGACGTCTAAATATAGGTCTTAATTAACTATTCGTTTACAGTAGGTTGCGTTCGCAGAATGCTTTATGTTTAAATAGGTACCTCACATAAATGCTTTGAATTCTACTTGCTCGGTATTGCCGTTAACTACTGTTTCAGAAAGCTAGCTTGTTTCAGCATGACGTAAAGTGTGTCTATACCCGGTTTCGAACCTAGACCAGCTTTGTCCCTAAGCCTAGTAGGCAAACATGCAAGCGCTACATCATTGCGAAAGCCAGAACGTCCATATGAGATGGCTGTGGAGGAACTTTATTAGAGACCATGCCAATTTCCAGAATCGCCCTTGATTTCCTGATTCTCCTTTTAAATTAGCCTAATACGATGGGCTATTTTAGGCAAACTCGAATCCGTTAATCGAGGCAGGTACAATTTTCTTGCGACAATGTTTTCACCTTCCTGTTTCCTAAGAACCCTAAGTAACTTTCATATGCAAGCTCTCATGCATGCAACAGCTTTCAAGTTATTGCACTTGACAAGCAGGGCTACTTGAGCGATAGCAGGAAGACGTTTGAAAACGAACACTTTTGACACCGCATGTTGGCTCCACCTATTTATTAAATACGTGCCACTTCAAGACCGGATTTATTTTATGGTCAATTAAGCGATAATCTCAATCGAACAAAAAATAAATCAAATATTACAGCGATAACGTGCTAAGGGAAGACGCCAGACAAACGTAGACTCCTTCAGGCATAAAACATAATTGCAACTGAACAGGCCAAGTTTCGAAATTGTCGCGGGCGTTTTTCCTTTCAGGAACCGTTGCCTATTGCACCCGTTCAACTTGTCTACGTAAGTCGGCGTGACAAAAAAATAGATTCTATAAATCCTATGTGCATGTTCCATATTTGTGGTGAACATCGTCTATCGATACAAATCACATCAAAATGTAAAATTCTTCTTATTATTTCCAGAAAATAACGCAAAAAATTATTTCCATTGTCTACAAAATATCAAACAGTATTTAAATTTGATAAATGTATAGGGATTTAACATTACATTTTTTTAGTACGCTAAATAACGTTCCCGCTTCTAATAAAATGTATTAGAGGAGGAAGCTATACTTAATAATTTGGGGGCAGTAAATACTGGTAAACATGCGTAATTTCTATTATCTACTGTAAAATTTCGATTTTTGGGTGTCTACACATCTACCACAATTGAGTTAAATTTATATAACAGGACCATAGCGCGAACTATTCAAGCGACCTCGGACTCTAAGGACCGACTGCTAATCCTAAGGTGCCGACACTTTGCAAAGGGCAGGCGTTGAAGTTACAGTTAGCTATAAAGTCCTGTTTTTTTTTGGTGAAACTTTATTCTGCTAGACATTATGGATGTAAAACCACACAGCGTTATGTGATACGTACAATCTTGTATGTCTGCAGTCTAGTGTTATATGCGCAACACATTCTAACTTAATTTTTTTTTCGTAATCATATTAAAGGCGCACTTCAGAGAACCAAGTTGAGGCCTTTAGATGCTAAATATAATGGTTTATCATTCAATCGATCGACTTCAGGCAATTACAATGGGATTATACCATCATATAGTCATGAATTCGAATCAGGACGAAGTTACCGGGCTCGTTGCCTTAGAAAATTTAGCAGAGTCACTGGTTCCCGTCGAGGCAGCAACTGACTTTCTGTTCATTAGGAAATATGGAATAGTTAACACAATAAATGGAATCGAATGTAGAGACCAACGGTTGCCAGTTACACTTCGTCAATGAGTAGGTGTTACGTGGCCCTGAAATCATCTGATGCATAGAGTCTAAATCAAGCCGATGAAATGGTGTTTTCTATGCTATAGTTACCAGATTGCAGAGTGCATGTTGACTGAAATTGCCCAAAGCAAGCACGTGCAAATTCATTCTCGACTAGCTTCATAGACTAGCCGATATGCCAGAGCGTCTGCGAAAAAACACGCGTAGGGCTCCACGCTCCGATGAAGAGAAAAAAGATGTTAAGCTTCTAGACGAAAATGATATAGCAATGCTCAAACAATATGGGTCTGGGCAATATGGTCGGCCAATCAAGCGAGTTGAAGCGGACATCCAAACGATTTTACAGAGATTGAAAGAGGTCTTCGGCGTCAAGGAATGCGATACTGGTCTTGCTGCGCCCGCACTCTGGGACCTCGCGTCGGATCAGCAGGTTCTCAAGGAAGAGGAACCTCTATTGGTAGCTCGTTGTATACAAATCATTAAGAATATATCAACTAACGCACAGGCAGCTAATTCGTATGTGATCAAAGTACGCGGTGGAGGGAAATACGTCGTCTCGCTGTCCGATTCGTTGGCTCCAACAGATGTTGAAGAGGGTATGCGTGTTGGGGTTGACGGCCAGCGATATATAATTCACATACCGTTACCAGCAAAAATTGATCCATCTGTAGCTATGATGCAGGTCGAAGACAAGCCTGATGTTACCTACAACGATGTCGGCGGCTGTGTTGAGCAGTTAAAAAAGCTTCGGGAAGTTGTCGAACTTCCTTTGTTGCATCCGGAACGTTTCACGAAACTTGGTATCGACCCGCCGAAGGGTGTCCTCTTGTACGGGCCGCCAGGTACAGGAAAAACCCTGTGCGCTCGTGCTGTAGCCAACCGTACAGATGCGTGTTTCATACGCGTCATTGGATCAGAGTTGGTGAAAAAGTATACGGGCTTAGGTTCACGCATGGTGCGTGAACTGTTCGATATGGCCCGAACGAAGAAATCCTGCATTATTTTCTTCGATGAAATCGACGCGATTGGAGGCGCGCGTTTTGACGATGGCGTTGGCGGTGACCGTGAGGTCCAACGAACGATGCTTGAGTTAATCTGCCAATTAGATGGATTTGATCCACGTGGGAACATCAAAATTCTTATGGCCACTAATCGGCCGGACACGCTCGATCCTGCGCTACTACGTCCAGGTAGACTTGACCGTAAGGTCGAGTTTGGCATGCCAGATCTCGAAGGTCGCACGCAAATTTTCCGTATTCACGCTCATCAGATGAGCACTGAACGAAATGTCCGCTACGCTTTACTTGCACGTTTGTGTCCGAATAGTACGGGCGCGGAAATTCGTTCCGTATGCACCGAAGCTGGCATGTTTGCCATCAGGGCCCGAAGAAAACTTGCCACGGAAAAAGATTTTCTGAAGGCCATTAACAAGGTAATCAATACCTACGCCAAATTTTCCGCGACTCCAAAATACATGATTCATAATTAGTGGACGAGCATGCAGATTCAAAAATACGTTAGCTGTTGTCAGCATGAAGTGTAGGGTCCACATTAGCTAAACTAATGAACAAAAAAATTTATATCTATTTGTGAAGAACCTATGCGTCCTATCTTCAGACAAGCATTGAACTGTTTACCGCTGTCAACCTACCCTCCCTAAGGGGTAAAACTTTCAGAAAGCCTTTGAGACTAAACCATGTCAACAATCATGAATACACAACAAAAGAACTTCCGCAATAATATTAACAAAGATCTTTCTAGGTAAACACCCCGCTCAGATTTTACACTTTTTTCCTTCCTTTCATTTCACGTTAGAGAACATTAGATTGTATTTCTGAGTTCGATGATCGTGTCGGATCCAGTAGCGTACAAGGCCTAATCTGGCTGTCAATCCTCCATACGTCATGTCTCCAATGAAGCTGATCCACGTTTGTTGGGCTTCATAATACCCTTTGCTGTTTGAGCCATGACCTGCAGCGTAAATAGACTGCACATTAGTCAATGGATTGCGTGAAACGCGTACAGCTGCTTTAGCACGAACCGTATCGTCTCGTCATTTTTTCAGTCAGACATTTTATCCATCGTTATTGGATTTTCTCATTATTGCTTAAAGTCGTCACATTACACAACTTATACTTAGTAGTCAATTATATTATGTATATATAAAGACATTGGTTAGTGTTACAGGAGTCCGTATACATTTGACAACACGTGATTACTTCAGAGTAGAATCAATACAAGCGTACCTATTTTAAGTATATCTGAATTTGTCACAACTACTATTGCACACATCATTTCAATCGCAGATAGTCCTTGGTGTACGTTTATTAGTATGAAAGACATGTCGTATGAGCTTTCTTTTTTTGCCGCCATCTTGGTAAGAAATGCGAGATCGATGCCATAACGATACCGTCATCCATTTCCAACCATGAACGCATACAGGAATAAGCGGATCTATGTTGTGTTCTACAAGCTGAAGCAGCGGGCGAAGCAGGATGTGAGTGCACGCTGCTTCAAGTGTGAATTTTAGAGCTCCTCAATCATCTAAACACCTATCGGTATTAGATAGATTTGATGATTCCGATTTGTATGGTGACCCTGGCTTTTTCTAGCGTAAGACACGGCTGGAAACACGATCTACAACGCTGTGATCTTACAGTTTCAGAAGCGGTCTTACTCGCAGATTATTGTGGACCGCGGAGCGTCCTTTTGAAAAATAAGTGCACCATAGTCAAGAGCATTCGATAAGTACTATATAGATCATCTTTATTTCTGCAAATTGCAAAAAAAAAGCCAGTGTATGCTAAATGGGTTAGCTTTCCTCCTTCAGAACTTAACGCCAGAACCTTGACCCTAGAGCCCTAGAACCAAACTTGACGGCGAAAGTAGCCACGATCTTACAATAAATGTACATAGTTAGATTATTTTCTGACCCATGCTTAGCCTACGTGCTTGATAGCTTACAAGCTATGCAGTCTTTTGAACTCGAAATATTACAGAAGCGAAAGGATGTGTCCGTTCAGCGTCGAACAGAAATACATAAGGAATGTACCTGTTTGTCTGCTTAACATCTCAGGGTTATTAGAATTGAATATATCTTCGTATGTTAGCCTTTTTATTAGTATTTCCCTCGTGATATTGTTGAACTTAAGGAATGTACCCTTTCTGATTTCTCATAATCAAAAGTGATCCACCACATTTCCCTCAAGACTCTAACCTTGACGAAACGTACAGCATTGAAAAACGTACAATTGTCATTATGTCACTTATCTTCTCGAAAGGCCAACCGCGCGCATCGTGGTTGTCCGCCAGATCAGCTGTTTCGTCTCGATGCTGCGTCACTGCTGACTTACGACGTTTATTCTGACGACAATGGCAACCGTTGCATTGTTAAAAAGCTATGGATATATGTACAGATTTTTCTCTATTTGATGGAGTCTCCATCAGGTCCTCCACAACTTCGCTACCAAGGAGCGTTAGGTATAATTATACAAACAACACCTGCGTATAGTGATGTAAGGGCGGAGTTACGTTGGTATATCGGTCGTTGTCGTGTGCCATCAAAATCAGTCAGCTACGTCGGGTTTTCATAGTGGCCTAAGGCCATATTGACGCTGCATTATTCAAAAGCATAGTGATATCTTAATAGTGTGGTAGTAGCAATAGATTTCTTGATGAACACCCCGCGCTCAAGGCACCGCGTTCTGGATATGTTTTTACATAATGTTACGCAAGCAACTTTAAACTGTTAATCCGTTCAGAATAGTTACCAAGAATACATTGGTGAGAAAAACGCTTCCCAATCTCCCAAGCTTGGATGACTCGAGCAATTGTTCGATAATATATCTATGGCTGTTGTCCACAAGCGAATGTGTAACATTACGATATAAAAGTGGTAGCTGAAATTGATGAGCTCGCTTATCAAATGATAAAAAATTGAGTCATTTTGAAAATCTTGTGGGATCAATAGGTTTAGGTTCAAGTGCAGACCGATATACATGTAAACCTCTCAAAATCGGTTTGCTAAACCGAAGATAAAAGGGTGGCTAGGCATGCTGTTTAATATTAGGAGAGTACTACGCTAGATAATCGAATAATTAGTAACAAGCACTAATACATGATTCTCCATTAATTATAGGTTGAATGCGGTCGGTCACCTTAAAATTTAGAACCCCAACCACCGCTAAAAAATTTCCCGAGCTGGGTTCTTATAAACAAGGTAACCTAAGTACTTCTGAGGCATATTGTAATATATATAACTTTTAAAGTATTTCCATAAATCGTCGTCCATACTATGTTTGTTTTACAGTATCTAGGAACAGAAGCTTTTTGACAAAGCGAACTAAGATATTACTTTTCTTCATAGAGGCTTTTTAACCATACGATCTGTGATGATGATGATGCTAACGTTAGAGGAGAGGCGATACGGTCGCAGTAATTATAGTGTACTAGGAAACGAACTGCTAGATGAAGAAAATTAAGGCCAGCGTTCGGCCATTGCGGAAATTGAATTAGTAGCGCGCTAAAGTCGCTTCGACGTAACAGCGGCTTTATCGCCAGAGGGAGCCTGTGCTTGTTCTGCGACCGGCCATTCTGTCTGGACGTTCAATCAAATCGTAAATGCACATTCTTTCTACATCAATTGATCGTCACCTACCATAGTTGTGCTTTAAGTAACAAGAAGGGTACTGCCACAAGCCATCGGTTCTTTATGAAGGACGGGTTTTCGTGAGCAGCGAAACTCAATTTTCGACAGTCCTTCAATTTCGTCTTCTGAACAGTTACTAATTTCAAGCTGTTAAGGGCACACAACGTTCTTATTACCTGGTTCTACCAATTACACTAAAAAAGTTAACGAAAATTATAGCTTTTACTGCAAGTTTCTTTAAAATAATTATTTTTTTTCGCATTTTTCATACATAGACCAAATGCAGTATAAGTGAAGGCTCGTAATAGGTTGCTCAACTTACTGCAAAACCTTTGCTGTATTTCCGCTAAGTTGTGCATGAACGCTGTTTAATGGCGCTTGTGTAGCATTAGTCTTACTTTTATTATAGGCGAAATCATAGATAGGCGTGGGCATCGAAAACGCTTTACCCGCTAAATTGGAAGTTACTGACGTTTGCACAACTTATGTATCGATAGATCGTACCTCCTTACGAGTCATGGCGTAGTGCATCTGCTACTAGCCTGCGATAGCAGCTCGAAAGTCAAACGTAAAAAAAAATGGAAATTTAGAAGCCTGTGCACACTTTTTTCCATCGTAAGGAGCGTGGAGTCACTTCCATTGCCAAAAAGGCCATCTACCGTTTAGAGCTGCCAAATAAACAGGAGAACACAAGAAAACTCCAACGACAAGTGGGCAGCTCTGCCGATTCTTTATCGCTGGTGTTAACGCTAAATTGAGCGCTCTCGGAAACACTGTGTGTTTGTGGCCACAAGCGGGATATCGACTTCGCCGATAAAACTACGCTCTGATCGACCGACCTTTGCTACCTACTGAGCTCTGGCTTTTACGAAGCATGAGGTATTTATTCGAGGTTGCTTTTTAAAAGGTATAGTACGAACTGGCGAAGCGTTCACGCTCAGGCCAACTCTTTAGTAAAATATCGCTTGCTTAATATTAATAGGTCGGGAGGCTTCCTTGGATTTGACAGGCCAAACGGATACAGTCTTGAAACAGTAGCTCCGGCCGTTCGGTGTCCAGCGTTGTAGACAGGGCAACTGTTAAGGTTGACGTTCGCTTCGTAAAATTACTAGTAACACCTGCGAGCACTCTGCTTGCCGGTGTCCCTTGCATAAGGCAAGCATTCAAACAGCATCAACAGATAATCTGTACGCAAATAGGTTCACTGTTATTTTTTTCGGCAGCGACAAACGTTTGGTCAGGAATGAAGTGCCGACTAAAATTTCAGCCCAATCAGAAGTCAATCACTAATAATTTCGACAACACGGCATCGAGCTAGGAGTGGGCCAAGCTCAGGAAATACGGGTATTTCTGGGTCACACACCTGCATTGCCTTCTTGCCTTTAGAAGCATTTGCCTTCTTAACACTAACCTATTAGGCGGACTTTATCGCTGATTTGTCACAGGTATAACGGACCAGCTAGCGCACTTTCCACGGCGATGAGTTTTATTGAACGTAGAACTTTTGCAACGTTGTCAGAAAGTTCGCATCTTCCATGTCCTATAAATTGCCCCTATCGGTTTTATGAATGACACATCTGTTTCTATCGTGTTCTCATGTGAGATCACTTCGAACAGAGACGGTAAAGACGTGACAGACTTTGTGAGCTGGCGCAAATAGAAGAAATATGTCAACCGGCTTAACCTGGCCCATTATGACATAATTGCCACAAAAGGTCATTGTATAATAAATGCATCGTTTAATAAATGCTTTCTCACAAATCTTTGCTTTGTGGCCTGAAATGCTAAAGGCCTCTTCGTTATTAGCTGCGCTCTAAATTGACTTAAACTACGTTTGGATTTTAGGCCGGGCTTAACGAGTTCATATAAACGCTGTTGGAGCAGCGAACATCCAGTTTTAGAAGAAGTCAGGCCCACAGAAGATTAACAGTGCTCTCGTGTGTAGCTTATAGAAGCTGTTTGGGATGCAGAAAAATTCAAGATGTAAATGAGTCGAGCCGA